TATCTGTGTCTGTGTCTGCCTGAATGTCACTGTCCTGGCTGAGCAGCAGGAGCTCTCCAGTTATCCCAGTGAAACTCCGCAGGCACTGGATTCTCAATGCCCTCAGGACATGGGGTGATGCCCATTTCCTTGATGAAACCAATTCAACCAGATGGGATAAATTCCTGGCTAGTTTTTCCCCTTAGAATTGCACTCTTTCAAAAGTTAGTTGTTGAGGCAGGCAATCAAAAAGGAAGCACTTCAATGGGCATTGGGAGCAGAGTGCAGACAGGGGAAAGAAGCAGCAAAGACCAATGGCTTTCCCTGTTTTCAAACAGTTCCTTCATATGATTTATTTGGCAGGTCTATATTAAGGTTCATTATCTTATCACTGAGCAAGTGATTGATATGTTTGGGGGGGAGGAAAGAACATGCTATGCAGAAAAAAACAAAACAACCCATTGGACAGCWACTTCAGCACCTTTGTGCCAAATTTCCATGTTATGTATCAAGTTTGAAAATGCTGACCCCACTACCTACTAGACCAACATTTTCAGGTGTCTAACACCCATTCTGTGAAACTCAGACCTCTGAAGTGTATATAATTGTGAATATAAAATGCAGAACTGCTTTGGCAAGTCCTCATCAAATGTCATTTTTCTAATTTTAATTTAYTACAAATGAGGTATTTATTTCTGAGGAGAGGAAAAATGGCCTTGGGCGGTTTCAGGAAGCAAAATACAAAATAAGCAAGACACTGTATTTTCTGAGAATTATTAAATTTAAATATGTGCAATTACAAATCACAGACATTTTCAAAAGCTGAGTTCCTGCTGTTTTCCTGGCACAAGAAATGTCCTTTGCAAAAGAAAGTGCTTAGTGACTCCAATCTTTTATATTACACTTAATGACCATGCTGACTTGGATTTGGCTGATAATTCCTTACCTGAGGGCTTGAATGCAATTTTGCTCTTCTTGCCCTTGTTTACTTGCTTCAGGAAAGAATCTCTGAGCAAATCAGATGCTGTMACACGTTTACTTGGATCAGGTTCAAAACAGAGCAAAATAAAGCTCTTTGTTTCAGCAGACACTGATTCTGGAATTTCAGGATGAATCTTAAACATCCCAACCTGCAARTAAAACACAAGTACTAATTATTTTTATGAAACAATTGCAAGGAGACCATGGCCCAAAGCTCTTAAAATATGATTGCCAACACTTCTCATGACTCTTGTGGAAAAGGAGTGATCCAGGTACCCACATAAAGCAGGGAAGTGAAAACAAGGTTCTAATCCTGTTTTATTTCATTATAAAATTGTGTGAATCCCCATGTCATGTTACACAAATGCCAAAGTATGGATGTATCTTATCTGCTTTCAGGCAATCTGAGGATGTGGGCATTATGGACACCAAGTGATTCAAACACTCCTTTTTTCTCAGCCACAAATCCCTGCAGCTTTTGCCCAGGTTTCCCATCAGCCCTGCCCAGCACATTCATGCCCAAGAACAGCAATAATTCCCTGCTCTAGCACCGAATGCTGGAGCTGCACCTGCTCTGCTCTGCCAAAATTCCTGCACAAATCCACACAATGACCTTGGCACCACCCCCTCTGGGGCCAGATGTCTTTCAGCATTATTTCATTGAAGATCACATGATGTGCAAAGGTTTAAAGGATCCTTGGTAAACCATTCTTTAAGTAATGACTCTTAAATGGTTACTTAAAACAGTCTCTTTTCAGACTCTGTCTTTAAGTAATGAAAAATGTACTGATTGCTCCCAGTGATTTTTCCAGGCAGCTCCTCACTGCCTTCTTCTCCTCTAATGTCAAACTGTTGGGAAGGCAGAGCTGCATAAGCTGAGTGCACAGGATGCACATGTCTGRAGAGATTACAGCTTGTAATCTCAGCATCTTTACACCAAACACATCCTGGAACAAGCACAAAGAGTGTCCATGAGGAATCAGAGTAAAATCAGAGCCAGCTGCTTCCAAATAATCCCATTCCAGACTGCATGAACACACCAGCATCATTAGGCACTCACAGTGCTGGTTTAGCTTCAATGCAAGCTGAAGCAAAAAATGCTGAGCAATACTTCAGTTTGAATGACAGTGCAGTAATAAAATGTTAATAGTGCTTTAAGGCCTTCCCAACCATGACTTTCAAGATTCAGCATCACAAACTGTCAGCACTCTGGTGCCAGSTTTCAYCCTTGTGCACTAAACAAAAATACARGAAAATTCCAAACYAGGGCCAGCAAGTTTGAAAGTTTGTCTCTGATCTTTGTTGCTCAAGAGGAATAAGTTTTGTCACAATTCTCTGCAAATTCTGTGGCGATCATCAGTGTACTTTGTCTCCACTGAATATCATTTACACTGACACAGATGCACACRTTCTGTGCTCACAGAATAAATCACTGCACACCAGCCAGGAACTATCCTGCTCTTGGTTTACTACAGCCCCTTTTCTCTACTTTGTCCAACTCTTTTGCAATTTTTAAATTGCACAGGGAGATTTAGACCTTCCCTCTCCTCACCTGCCCTATGCACAACACAGCGTGCATGTGTGGAGGTGAGGACCTCAAAAGTTCAATATTCCAAATTTTCCAGACTTCCATTCTTTTTCCATGCTTGCCCAGCCAGCCTGCTTCAAATCCAGCTTCCAGCTTGCTCACTTTTATTAAAATTWAAAAATTTTATTATTATTTTACTTGCTCACAGAAAAAGAAAACACYTTTTGTAGTGTCTGGTGCCTAGAAGATGTAGCTCCAAACAGAGCCAAGAAACAGAAAACAAAAACCAATGCCTGCCTGTTGTACATGAACACAGGCTGCAATTACAATGCCAAAAACTTTTTCACATCTGTGAAGATTAAAGGCAAAAAAAAGTATTTTAAAAATGCCAACTCTGAGCCTTGCTGAACTGCAAGACAGATTTCTACACCTATTGATAAAAATCTGAATTTGCCACCATAGTTCCGTTAATGTTGATACCAATGCTCACAAGATACATGAAAAAATTACAACATTGATAATTTAAAGCAGTTTGCTGGGTTATGGATGGGATATTTCTCTCCAATTCTCTAGTGTAAGTGAAAAACTAAGTGCTTTACTAAAGGTCTACTGCAAGCCAATGGAAGAATCAAAAATTTGCAGTCTGCTTATTTGGCATATAATCACTTCATAGCTGTTACACTCCTGTTAATTATAGAATCAGAACAAGTATCTTTTTTAAACTCACATTATCAAAACTATCTGAAGAATTCTCAAGTGTTAATCTGTGCATTTGAAAACARAGACAACAGCTTATTGAGGTGGTAGCTCTGACCTGCAGGACTTGGAATGAGAAATATGGAGTATTTATATATATATTTATATATATATATATAATATACTGGAAATCCTGGAAATCCCTTTCCCTTTTATGTTGCTAACATTGCAGAGACCAGGCCTTTGAAAGAAAGGTTTTTGTTGGGAAGGAAGCTTACAGAAATTACTTAAAGGAGCAGAATTAACTTGTTTGTCATTATTGGGGAGACTGGTTACGAGAAGGAAATCATAAACCAAGAGCAGGAGATGAAAAAGTAAGACASTAGAGAATAATAGTTTTCATAAGTCTTCACTCATTCTTCAGCTTGCTGCTCTGAGTCATGACCTATTTCCAGCACAAAAATAACTGATTACCCCCAGAGCAAAATAGATCAGAGAAGGATCTTTTCCTTTACATCATATATGGCTTTGTGCAAAACATCCCATGTAACACAATGCTACTACCAAATATAATATTAGAAAATAAAAAAAAAAAGCTGTATTTACTTTAAACATTGCAGCTTGAGGCTCCCCCAGCTCATGGAATGGAGGTTTGCCTGTTGCCATCTCGATGATGGTGCAGCCCAGGGACCAAATGTCAGCTGGAGCACCATATCCTCGTGGTCCTTTGTCAATGATTTCTGGAGCCATGTACTGCAACGTTCCTGGGCAGGGAAAAAAAAAATCTTCATTCTTATTAAAGAGGATTAGCACAGCACTCTGCAAGCCAAAAACTGTCAAATGCAACATGCAGAGCCAAAATACTCCATTTCCCATATCAGCACTGAAAATTAGACACAAACTTCTGTTTTAACATCTTTTTTATAAAATACTTTCTAACACAAAGTTTCAAACTGCTGAAGGTCTATTCACCACACAATCCAACAGCTTCCTCAGAAAATMAAATTAGATCAACAATGTTTGCAAACAACAGCTTTTAAAAATTATGCATATAAGAGATGAAAAAATCTAAGATGTGACARATAGTCTYCATGAGAATAATTTTTCTTATTCTWCCCCAATAATGAGAACACTAGTGTCAGGGAATTTCAAACTGTTTGAAAGAAAGCTATTTTTGTAAATACAGGACAGTAAATCATAACTGATCTAGAATTCCATGTGCTTGGGATTTCTGAGATCCAAGTTTAGCAAAAAAAAGCCCCAAAAAAAACCCCACCTAAACAAAACAAACAAACCCAAACCAAACCAAACAGCAAACCACCCTGTTACAATTCCTAAAGCTACACATACTGACAAAATAAGATCCTGCCTGTAGACAATCTGAGTGTTATACTAGTAATAATAGTGATAAAGAGCAGTACAGTAAAAAATTAAATAMAAGATGGTCAATTTGGTATCACTGTTATTGAACCACCACTAATACAGCTAAAAAGGTCTTCACAGGAAGAGTCCACCACCACTAGAAATCTCTAGATGTTCAGAATTTCTACCAGCTCTGTTACAACATCTTTAAATTAAATTCTTTTTCTTCTTAAGAATGCAATAAAGCTGTAAACTATTAAGTAATGGACATAYAGTGAAGATAAAAGGGTATAATATGTTCATTGAATGTGATTGCTGCAGAATCAAAGGTCAAGGCACAGCTCTGCCCTCAGGCTGTGTATCTTCAATGGAGGGATATAATGTTGAAACCACCAAAAATGGGATTTTTCAAACCATGTGATTATATAATGCCTAAAATCTTGGGTTTATGTTTATTGAGTTATGGTACAAAATAAAAATTGCTGGAGACCTTTTAAGGTCCTCTGCAGTGCAGTTAGCTGCTTACTGATTTTAAATCCAAAATGATAACTTCAATATTTATTCACATGGCAAATTACATCTCAAAGGCACAAACAGGGCTGCAAACTTGCAAGAGAACAAAGAAGAWGTTTATAAAGAAGAAGGGTATAAAGAAGGGGTTACCTCCTTTTATTCCAGTATGATAAGATACCATTTCTCCACATATCATCTGTGCTGACAATCAGTTGTTAAACTCAGAAGGAGGATGTAAAATACAGGCAAAGACAGAACAATTTTCCCTCAGTATCTACTCCAACCCTAACAGCAATCAGCCATAATAGTGCCTTCCTGGACCAAAATTAAATTTTGGACTATGACTTTAAATAGCCACAGAAGTGTCTTCCATCATGATTTAATGATTACCTTTATGCACACAGAAGTTTACAGAACATCCTGCAGAAATAAGCAGCACAGCACATCAAACCACTGCTTTCCAGAGATAAAGGACCTGTACATATCTGAGAATTACCAATAAGATGGTTGACAAAAAATTATTTTTTGAATAATGTATTTAGAAAAAAAAATAGTGAACCTCCTTAAAGGAATGCTTCAGAAGGCAGCATTTAACAGCTCTCTGTCATATGTGTATCTAACTKTTGTGGCACCTGGAAAATGAAGAGATTTCTTCTTGTAGCTCTTCATTCTTAAAACATGTTACATATGTGATTCCAAACACCACAAATAATTCTTTTCTTCTCTTTAAAGAACTCCTAACTTAATTTGATTCCAATAACCTTCTTTATAGCTTTGAAGGAAATGGATTTGTTTAAAATGCCTGCACCTGAGGAGATGTCTAAAATTTTCATGTGAACTGTTCTTTTTACTGTTAGCCAATTGGTTAGATTTTGGAACTAATACCTCAAAACTGAAAGTGTTCATCAATTTGAGTTTTTCTGCACTTTTAAGCATCCATCTAGAAAATGTCCATGTGTAAGTTACTAACATCAAGCTTGTTAAATAAAAAAGTTCCTGTATTTAAGTGTTGCCAGATGTCAATGCAACAAATAATTGCTACTTAATGAATGCTTAGAAGAAAAACTTTTACCCCAAAAAAGTAAAATGGAAGAGAGTTACATCCAAAAAAAAAGTAAAAAAAGCTATCAAGCCTATGTTTATGGTGGTCACACTCCCATTTAGTCTCCCCTGAAAATGGAGACCCAGTGGGGTTTTTCATCACTAACCCAAAGAGCCTCTTGGCTCAAATGAAAACCCTCACAAACTCTGCTGGATTTCTCTTACCTGTAAATGTTTCTGTGCATGGRTTGATTCCTGCCAGCCGTTTGGAGGTACAAAAATCTGAGATCTTCACCACACCACTGTAGGTGTTCACCAAAACATTGTCCCCCTGTGGTTTGGAGATGAGGGAAGGCAGGGAAAGGGTGAGGGTGGAGGAGCAGAGAGGGAGATGGATAAACACAATTCTCAATATCAATATCCTTCAAATTTGCACTGATCTTTGTGATACACCTTTCTACAAAGGAATATTTCAGGACTTGGTTTTAAGCTTCCATGAAATCCTACTAAAAATTCTGCTTCAGATTAAAGCAAAACTAACTGAAGTAAATAAGATAAAAAGCAAATCAAACAAGATACACTAAAGGAAAAGTTACCTTTATATCTCTGTGTACAATCTGGTTCTCATGGAGATACTTCAGGCCTTCCAGAATCTGCTTGGTGTAAAATTTAATTGTAGGTTCTTTCATTGGGCCCCACTTCGATCTTAAKAGAGCTGAGAGGCTGCCTAGAAAAAGGATATTGATACAAGAAAATGTATCAAGATAATGTAATCCCCAAATTAACATCAAACAGTTAAATCTGGATGAAGCCTTTGCTCAACATCCAAATAAAAAACACAGTACTTACAGTTAAGCTAAATTCTTGCTAGATCACTCAAAGCAAATAATTTGCTGCTGCTCTGAACTGGTTATTTTTTACTTGCCAGGTCAGGTTCTACTCCCTGAATAGATGACAAGAATAAATGTTGTGACAGGGCTGGAACAAGTGCTGAACTAAGCCTGGCACCCTTTCACCCTTAATGAAACCAGGACTGGGGTAAAACTGCACCACAGTGTACACTGCACTCAATGAACCACAACTATGGGCAAAGAGAGCTGATCTTCTTGAACAACAAACAGAACAAAAAACAGAAAGAGGCTTTTCCTTAAGAATATGGGATTAACTTCTGGCAATATTCAGAGACAGGAAAGAAATCTGAAAAAAACCCCTCTGAATGGATGTTTGGAGTAGGAGATAGGCCAGCCACACATTTCCTATTCTAAAAAATGAATCTTTAAATAACACAAATATTTTAATGATGAGGAAAAATAAAGAACAAAATAAACTAATTACAGTATGTCTACTTAAGGCCAGAAAAATTCAGCTAAAGGAACTTTTAACTAATCCACAGCAAAAGTTTTCTGAAGTGAAGTTTCCTCAAAGACTCTTGCATAATCTTAACAGCTGGTTCCTTTTTAAGCCTGGCWACAGAGTTTAAAATATCTGAATTGGTTCAATAATACCTTGCCATTAGCAACTAATCCCAGCACACTATAGTGATCATACATAACAGAGCTGACCCTGTTAACAGTGTGGGAAAACAAGGGGAAGTGTTGCTATAACCTCATCACATCTGCATGCATCATGGGCTCACAAGGATTCAAAAACYAAATCATTTCCCCACATTAAATGCCCTGGATGTATTTAATTACACTTGGAATGTCTGTGTCTGGAACTTTCTKAGAAAATCTGAACTTTACCCACCCCATTCTTATTTCTGTTTTTATTTTGCTAATTAAATTCATACAAAATTTAACACTCATTCTGACACATCCTTGACACTGAAGAGTAAATGGCAAAAAGGAGACAAAAACAATGTAGAGAGGTTACAGAGGGATTTCACATCATCTTCCTCCAGCAGAGAGAGCTGGAGGAGTAAAACTGGGAATTATGAGCAAAGSACACATCTCACTTTTATCTCTAATTTACCTACAAAATAGCATTGCTTTGYATATAGCAGCTACAAAACAATTTTGTATTTGCTCTCTCAGTTTTACTGCTCAAAGAGAAACACCCTGAGAGCTCCAGTCATCATTCAGCTCAAACTCCACTATTTTATAACACATGAATATTTGAAACCAAATACTTTTAATCACTTATCTCTATGTTCAGAATTATTACAGAAAGGGGAGAGGGTACTGGGATCTATACTCTTCAAATTTACTCTATCAGAAAAATTACTTATACAGTTAATGTGCCAACAGAAAAGGCAAATACAGCACCAAACACATTAAGTGCTTATCTGCTGATTTTTAGGAAGTTTGGAGTCCCAAATGCTTTTTTCCCTTTGGCAGACAAAACTCAGCATGATGCAAACCTCCTGGCACCTGCTCCATAAAAATCTTAATGTATCCATTTTCTGAAACAGATCCAAGATACTGGACAATGTTCCGATGCTTTAAATATTTGTGCAGTGCTATCTCTTCATGAAGAGGTTGGGAATACCTRTTAAAAAAACAAAAACAAGGAATATTTCATCATGCAGGAAAAGGTTCTAGGCTATGCTTAAATGCTAGTTTGACAACAGAATGGATTTTAGGGATAGTGATCCAATTCTCAGCTAACATATTGTCCATGATCTTTAAAATGCAGGTTGATTCACTGCCTGTKCAGAAAAAGAACAGAGATAGAGGAGATCTCAGAGGAAAAAGATGCCCTTCAAGAATTCATGTGTGTGTTTTCTGTATCAACACATAGCACTGCCTTTGACTCCAGAGCTCCTCTTATGCTTTTCACCCTCCACAAAAAGAATACAAATGAGATACAACTGCAACTTGAAACAAAAATATGTTTTCTTCTAGAATTTATGATATACATGCAGATTATTAAACTGTAATATTTATGATACATATGTTTTCCCTCAAAATACAAAGACTTTATTCTCAAAAAGGTACTGTTGAATACTRGGAGGAAATCATAATTGAATTTCAGTATATTGGGATTTTATAAACTAACCACACAGAAACATGTGCTAAGCAACGGCAGATTTTCAAAAAACAATTTCATTTTTGTTATCAGTGTATATATAACAATATAGGTCTCACCTGCTGTCTCTCTCAGGTATTTCTTTGATGGCTATTCGGACCTGGTTGCTAATGTCTCTYCCAGCATAAACAATTCCATAAGTACCTTTCCCAAGAACTATCCTGTCACCATTCTCATCGTAATCATATTCATACTGCAAGCAGAAAAGACAAASAAAGCAGCACAGAAATGGTTATTTAGCATTTGACATTACAGGGAGCCTTAAATACAGTTATGTACTGAGTTACTACAGGATTTTGAAAGAGCACTTTTGCAAAGAGTTAAGAAAGGAACTGGACAATTTCTTATCTCAGATATTGTGGAGTACACAGATCTCCCCCAGTATCTTCCCACATCCAACAGGATGCCCCATATGGAAAATCTGCAGGGTATTCTCTGTGGCTTCAGGTGAATTCTCTACTAAAAACAAACCACAAACCTTATTACAGCAGCCCTAACCATTGACTTTTCCATCAATGACCATTTGTTCTGCACTGTCCAATGTGACTCTCTGATACAGAACACAGATTTGGGATTTGTTTCTTTGCAGTGTTTTCCCAGCCCACATTGCAGCTCTGTCCATGTGGCACTCTGCTCCATCTCACATTGCAGCTCTGTCCATGTGTCACTCTGCTCCATTCCTCACCTCACAAAGATTACAAGTTTCATGTGTGCAATGTGCTAAAGGAGTACACAGATCTCCCCCAGTATCTTCCCACATCCAACAGGATGCCCCATATGGAAAAAGTGCAGGGTACTCTCTGTGGCTTCAGGTGAATTCTCTATTAAAAACAAACCACAAACCTTATCACAGCAGCCCTAACCATTCTTTTCCATCAATGACCATTTGTTCTGCACTATCCAATATGACTCTGTGATACAGAACACAGATTTGGGATTTGTTTCTTTGCAGTGTTTTCCCAGTCCCCACTGCAGCTCTGTCCATGTGTCACTCTGCTCCATCTCCTCACCTCACAAAGATTACAAGTTTCATGTGTGCAATGTGCTAAAGSAAAGCAGTCTGTCGTTTATCCTCACAGCACATTCTGCTCACTGGAACTAAATTGCAGCAAGCACAGCTTTAGCACAGTTTCATTTACCCCATTTCAGCACTTCACAGTTCACAACATCATCTTGTTACACGATAGGCATAACTGACCCAAAATGCCATATGCAAAACTTGTCAGGTTCTTTGGTGGGAGCATATCCAGCTTTCACAGCTATCATATGACATAAAACTGTGCAGAAAAAAGACAGCAGTCACATTGCAGAATTTAGGATTGACAGCAAGCCCATCTGCARCAGCCTGGTCCTAAGCCAAGCCTTTAATTACCGTGGAGAAAGCTACATTCTCCAGTCTGGGTCTAAGGATACATGAAAATGGTTGGGATTTAGAGTTCAGTGCTAGTTAGTAGACAGTTTAATAAATTTGTATACAATTGATGCAAATTGATACATTTGCCTCTTCTCGTCCCAACAGCTACAAATATTGAATAAACCACTTTTGGTTGCCAAAAGTCTGAATAAGTGATCTAGTGGTGTGAAATCCAGCCATYAGGTACAAGTAAACAAGTGTTCATATCTGACCTTCTGAAGGGCAGGGTGTTCTCCAGGATACCCTATTTGGGTACTCTTAAAGTGATTGGAACTCCTTCATATCAAAAACAGAAGTGAATACCCTAAGGCAGAAATAACTGCAGCATTCACATTCCTTCACAATAATTGCTAGCTGCAAAACTAGACAGCAATTTATACACAAAATACACAGCTCCCAGTGACAACATTCTGATAAGGATTCTGACTGAAATCAGATTTTCTTCCCCCACACTATGCACGAGGTCATTTCTTCCTCTTCCCCAAATATAAACAGATGGTTTATTAACAGTAAGAACTGTTTGCTCTGTACTAATCAAGCCCATCAAGACCACACAAAGCTGCATTTTCCTCGTTGTCTCTTCTCAAATGTAAGATCTCTGTTCATTTATACACTAAACTAAATAATTCTCCTCTCCAGAAATCCTGATTTCTGTTWCAGTGTCCTAACCTAAGACAGTAAGTACAATTGTGAAAACTTCAGGACAGGTAGGATGATATAGCTTAAAGACTTAAAATTAATTTCTGCAGTCACATSTCCATGTGTCATTCATTCACAAAGGACTGTTTCCTGCTCTGCATTGTCAAGTGATTTTTTYAGTTCAGTTTTTAAAAGGCTCAAGCACAGTGAGCCTCTGGGACAGATTCATCTCAAATGAGATTACCTGGAGTAGTAATGGTATCAGGTACCTGCAAGAAAAACTAAAGCACCTTTGTAAATAGCTTTTTTCTAGCATTTATTTGGTATTTTATCTTTTTTATCCATTTGAGACAGCTGATATCAGTTGATTCTCACCTATACACTGTTTTCAAGAAAATACAGTCACACACATCATTAAGGATTTATACAATTTACAATAGCAACAGACCCACTTAAAAAACAGTGTGTGTTTCTTCAATTGAATTCAAATCTCATGTACAAATAACTTTGCAAAACTTTAAATTTCATACACAGTTACAGAGTTTAAATGCTATTTATCTTTCTACCACACTGATATGAAAATGCAGGGCAGACTGAGAACAAACTTCACAGTTCTTAGATCTTTTATCCCTCACATACCTCCAATGTGTCTCCATCTATTTCTCCTTCTAGTTCCAAAGTACTGCCCATTGCATCAGACAAAATTTCCTTTACCAAACCACAGAATCTAAAAAAGAAATAAATAGCACAAGATCAAAGAAGAATATCATTTCAGAAGCAGATTAAGCAGATTCTTCACAAGTTGGGCATTTCTTTCAAGCTAATAAACTGATGAGCATGTTCACAGGTTTCTTTCATTAATGACTTTCTCCATATTTATCCCATTTAAATTGATGAGGAACATCAAACACACACTAAAAATCCTCATTATTTATAAAATTATTTTATTTGCYGTAGCAGAACCCAATAGTTACCTGTTATTGTAATTGCATAGTAAAACCTTTGTAGATCCAACTCCAATATTTTTTTCAGTACATGTTTGGCTGCAAGTGTGATTAGTCAGTATTTCAATAAATTAGGTATTGTAGCTTTTTGTCAGGCATTCAGAAAGCCAAAAGTATCAAAGTAGTAATATGGTTGGAARAACAGAGTTTGAACTAGTTTCTGGTTTTCTGGGGTGGAGAAACTTAAGAACATTTTCTACTGTAGTTTCCAGCATGAGCCACTCTTTTTTTTTTCCAAATTCTACACAAAATGATTAACAATTATTTAAAAAAACATTATAAACTATTCATAATTTCATTTCATACACCTCTTTCATTAAACAGCAGAGACACAACTCTGGAACTGACTCCTGCAGTGACTGAAAAAGGCATGAAAAAATTGCCCATTTTCATGACACAAAAATTGCACTGCAAAATCAAGGCTCATTTTAGTGTTTCCTACCTTTTATGCAATGCACTCTGCAAACCTAACAATTTTCTTAAACCTGATTTTATTCCATGTGATACATAGATAGTAATTATTGGATGAAAAATAGATTATTTTTCTATAATTCAACTCCAAAGACAAAGTGTATTAACAACTCCCTACTACACCATTCAGAAGGTGTATTTGCAAATACCAGTCCCAAGGCAGAATTTGGTCTGGGGAGATTTAGTCCTGAAATTCAGCTAGCCTGCTGACTTTTTAGAGACAACAGGCCATCAGAAAATATTTAATTATAGGTGCAATCAGTACCACAGCTCTGTGAAACAAGGTAAATTAGAATTTTTTGTTATATTTAGATGTTTTTATTTACATCAAACTGATTTTTTCAGTCTGACACATAAGGGAACCTGAAACAATGTAGTACCTTAAATGACATGGCSAAGACAAAGCAAAATAAGATAATAGTTTTAAGTTAGATTAAGCTACTTTAAGTCTTTTTTCAGAGGTAATGATTTGAAGATAAACTAATCAGAATCAGAGAGGAAGTATAATTTCATCACCTTAAACATCACTGAGTTTACATTGCTTCTTCATCAGGAAAAAAATAAGTGAGGAAAGAAATAATCTGTTTTTCAGGCAAAAAGATTGGTTTTCAATCTTTACTAAATTAATTTTCTTTAGTCTATAGATGAGGCAGGGAACACTCACACAAACTGAACTCACCTGCTGCACTGGTTTTCTGTAGAAAAATAGATTTGAAAGTCATCATAGTTGTCATGGACATAGAGAAAACAACATCGTTCATCAAACTTGGAAATGCTGTAAAATTCACATTAGGAAAATATTATTTTTAATATAACAATTAGAAGAAATAGGGCAATAAGGGTTTTTTTTTCATTATGAGCACTTAAGAAACCTCTTTTTCACAGTTAATTACATCAGAGAAGCAGTATGCAGTTATATATATTTTCCTTATAACTAGAAGTTTTCAGTTTATTTATATATTCTATAATCCTATCTCAAATTTGATAAATCAGCTTACTCTGGTAAAACACTGRTTTATCTGAAGTGTATTGAGGTTGGTTTGTTGTTCACCTCCACTTTTACACAATTTTTTTTGATGACACCTCAATGGAAACTGAATTGCTTTGACATTAATTCAGCTATCAGAGAGCCTTTTGAGACTGACAAGTAAATCATGTTTTTTATAATTCCATTGCTCCTACAATAAAACTGAACTGGGAAATACCAACATTGTAGCAGATCCTTCTCAGTCTAGAGTTTTTACACCTTAATAATGATAAACAAGTTTTGGGATGACCAATATTTACTCCAGATTGCAGCAATAATTCTGACTAAGTCATTATTTATTGCATATTGTRTCCTGGCAGTGTCATATATATCCCATCTAAATGCACTGAAGCCATAAAATACAGTATCAATATGAAAGTAAATCCAGGAATTTCTCTCTTATCCCAAACACTTACACTTCAGTATTTTGGTATATAATTCCAAATAGTTAGGACTGTTAAAGAATTTTTGTGCCTTAAGTTAATAAAATTTCTTACATTCTTGTCTGATCTGTTTAGACAAACTCTTCAATTTTGCTTATCCACTGCTGAGCCAGTTAATTCAATGCCATGYTACATTAGCAACTTGTTGAAGCACATTAAGGGGTGCATGGAAAACATTTTTAAAAAATCTGAATTTTGCCTGAAGAAAATTTTTTTTAGACATTTGTGAAAATACACCATGCCATTCTTAAGCTTTATTTAATTTAGCAATTTCTAATCTAACAAGTCAGACAAGCACATATCTGACATGAGAACCAAGAGACAAAGCACAGTGATTCTTCCAGGGGCAAATTCTGGATAGACAAAACAGCATCTGAATAAAAATGCTGCATTAGAAAAGTGTCACAATTTTAGGGTTTTGACAGAGTGTGTGTTAAGTGCAATCACATTTTTTTTTAAGCTAATGCAATTTCAAAAGTATAGCAATTTAAMGTTGTCATATACAAAGCAAATATCTAATTCCACTAAATTTAAAAAAGATTGCCTCTTTGAGCTTTGTAATCTTCAGCAGTGATTAAAAATCAAAGCAAACCAAATKAATTGCTTGCTGCCTTTTGATTAAAGTTATCTTTCTCAATGATTAATTTCTGTGCATTGTGTTGACTGAAGGTAATTAATATGGTGCAGAAACTTTATGCTGAGTTATGCTGAATCAGTTCCACAGACTTCAGKAATTCATGTTGCATTGGAGYARTARAATAAAATACCATGTAAAGTTCATTTAAACCAAATCTGCTTTTTTTTTTTTTTTAAAGGAGAATACTGGAGTTACAGTAAAATCTATGTCCAAATCCACGATTTTATGTTTTCAGTCACCACTCACATAATTCAGAGAAATACACAAACTACCTTCTAAATCTAGTCATGCATTTTGCAATTGTTACCACCAAATGTGAATATTTTCTACCCTTTCAGTTCCCAGAAAAATCCTCTTTCTATGTAATATTCTGATCTTCTTTGGTACTGATATTTTGAACCATTTACTTGTGAGTAGTGTTTACATTAATCTAGGCTGTCTTAACTATTTAAAGGCTAGTCCTTGAGAAACTCCACAGTAGTCTACTTCCAYCTGAAGAATTCTCTTCTGTCCTTAGCAAAAAACTCCATTTATGCCTCACTTATTATTTCTCCAATAAGCCAAGTCTTGSTTAGCAGGTTTTTAAATAAAGCCATATCAGAAGTATTTCTGAATTCCAAACAGAAAATAGGTACCATGGTTTGCTTTTCCAAAAGAAAAACAGACCAGCTCTTCTGTCACCTCATGGAAGTGAAGAGCTAAGGGCTCTTCTTTCCTTCTGCTCTCCATGTTTTTAAATGCAGAGATGGCAATAACTTCACTGAACCATTTAGAAAAAAAACCAAAAATCAGTTACATGATTTAAAACAAGAAAGTCTAGCAGAGCAGACAGACACCCACATACACCCTGAGATGAGTGATCCTATGAGAAATGCCAATCCATGGAAAGGTAAACTCTGCTGTGACATTTCCAGGCAGGTTGGACAGAACAGATTTTATAATTGGAAGAGAGATTTAAGGTAGAATCCATATTTCCCACTTAAAGAAAATAAAAAGCATACACAAAAAGACATTWAACTGTTATCTGACACACCAACCTTATTCCCCGAATGGAAGAAGCTGTAAAATTCCATTCATGAATCTGTTTCTGTAAAGAACAGAGGTACAATCAACCACAGTTTCATTTTGACTTCATATTGAAAACAAAGTCACAGCATGGTAAGCAAAAGAAAGCTTTTCCAACATGGCTCTTTTTCTTTCTTTCTGTCTTCCCTTCATATTTTGAAATAAGATTGATACATGGGAAAAGAACTTATACATATATGCTATTTTACTCATCTGAGAAAAAATGAATATAAATGGCACAGAGCAGAAGCAAAGGCTGCATTTCCTTGTGTAAAATTAAATTTGAAGAATAAATTGTGCAGTACAATTTACCAAATGTTATGTTTTGATGCAATACAACTATATTTTATATTAAACATGAAGCAGACTGTGCCCTACTCTTATCTAGGCTCAAGGGAAAGGCATTCATCACAGGCTGCCATTTTTTATAGTTTCTTATATTACAATTGTAAAAGTTTAAAATGCCTAAAACATTGAACACAATACTGGGCTTTATCTTTACTTTTAATCTAACTTTGAGCTGCATCTTAACAAAAATCAYAGAATTCCAATGAGAAATATTATGAGCAGACTGAATAACCCATGGACTGCTAAGAGACATGGTCAAGATAAAATAATCTGAATGATATCAAAGCCACTTGAGCTCTAATAAGAGTCACTCCTTTTACTTTCTCTGTAAAATGTCAACTTTTGTAACTGCACAAAAGAGATACTGAGGCTTGGGCTCCACAGAAATGCAGCAAATTTTAAATTATTGTAAAGTGCTCTAAAATCTACATGTAAAGATTTACTTTATACACAGTGAATCAGAATAAATTTAACAGATCTGCTGGCAGTTTTACCATTTCAGCTGGAGAGACATGCCACAAAGACAGAGAGCTCTCATCTGCTTCACTGTTGATGGAAACATAAGCAGGCTGGTAGACTTTAGTTGGTTCTATCACCAAAACCTGCAGACAGAGAGCATTTTTCCTTAATAAACCAGCAGCTCATACACTACAGTATCTTCAGATGCTCAAAAAGGTAATTTTGAAGTAAGGCCTAAAAAATTTCCAAGGGAGACAGGAGGGCAAGACAAGGCAGGAAAAATCTGTGCTCTTATCAACAACAGAATAGTATTATCACAATTTGTTACAGAAAACTAACAAGTATTCCTTAGAATGCTTTTAAGGTAGTGGGTTAATTTTTTTTTACAGAATAAAGATTAAGTACAGGAGTTTGGTTCATGCAATGAAATAAMAGGCAGTTAAGTTTTTAAGTCTTGTGTTTAGAGTCTTCTGATTCTTATAATATCCTATCCAGAAACATAAAACATACAAAACTTGTTTGGACATAATATCTTACTGGAAATCTCAGTCCATTAGTTGTTTCTTTCGTTGCCTCAAAAATTRTATCTAGCCAGAAAGTCAATCTTTCTTGTTTAGGAGAATGTTCTATGGTGAGTTTCTTGAAACGCTGAATTAACATCAGATTCTGAACTAATGATTTCAAGTACCTAGAATGTATTGAATTAGTGAGTTAACAGAGAGAAAACAAAATTTGACCAGATTCTAAAACCTTTTAACTGACTCAGACATCTAAAATGAAATGTGTTTTAAAAGCTAAAATGGTAATGGAAATGGTAGTGCTGCTTTTTATAGATTTCTGGAAAGAATAGCAAGTTTAGACTAAGCCTTAAGTCATAAGCTCCCATGGATGTTCATGAACAAGAGCTTTTTGCAAATGGGAATAGTTAACATGAGTGGTTACATGGGATTAGACAGGATATGATGAGCTAGAAGATGGTGGGGGAGGGAAGCAGCAGCTAGCTAAACTCTGAAAACAATGGTTTCATCATATTTTCACGATTGCTTCACAAGGAATCATTATCAATTTCCAAATTCTTTCTTATAAAATATGTGCTTCAATGGGATAGAAACCTGACAACGTTGGATAATTTAATTTCTTACCTTCCCCCTTCCTTCCCATAATAAAAGAACAGAGTATAAAGTCAGASTTGCAAACAATCTAAGATGGAAAAATCCAGTTAAGTTATTTATGTGACTRCAAGATTTTTTAAATTCTTGTATTTCCCCACAATTTAGTACTTGAGCTCCAGCTTTCCACCACATACCAAACTGGAGGTTTCAGCTTAAAAAGCTTCTCTGCTGCTTGTACTGCTTTACCAACATCATTRGCCAGCATGCTCACACTGAAGAACTGTCCCACATCCCAGTAATTGTTCATTTTTTCCAGGCTTCCTTTTCTTCCCAATAAACTGTTTAACCGTACACCTGTAAAATTTCAATTAGAAACAACAATTTTCTATCAGTAAATCACTCTTTTGTGGTTTTTACTGATAAGACTATCAGTAGAAGACTAATTTAAGACTTGATTAAGCATTACTGATAAAAATAAAGTGGAGTAAACTTTCCCCAGGAAAAAAAACATTGCAGAACACAGAGGCAGGATCTGCAAATCACACCCTCAGAACAGATCAGAAAGTCAGAACTCCTACTACMCAGTGCTGAAAAACCTCTTTTGCTTCTGCCTCCTGATTCTCAGCTGCTCCAAGGCAAAAGGAAAATGTCCCTTTGAGATTCCTGTGCTCTAGACTGCYATTCAAGATCTACCACTAAAAAACCTGAACCACCTTTCTTTCTATGCAACCCATCACTATAAGTATTTTGTTTTCTTCATAGRGAGAGAGGCAGAAAACTTGTCTGTGGCACTGTGTGTGAATATTTACCTATTTTTCTCAGTTCCATTGAGCTTTCAAACTGCTGTCCTGCAACAAGCAGCAAAACTGCAAGGTTAATTCCAGAATACAGAGTTGGCTGGAGCTCAAATCCTTTGCGATACCTGCAGAGAAGAGTCAAGAATTCACATCTCATTGTTTACAACTGAAATATTGCCAAGTTTTGATAAGTATTTTAATGAGGATTATATTGGCACCAATGGCCCCAAGCACTCTGTTTCAAATTCCATGTTCATTAAAGCTAACCCAGCTAACACAAGTTGAATGCCCAYCACTACTGGTGCAGGATCAAGAGATCTCCTGAAGATTCCATGTTCACCAAACCAAGATTGCTAAAATTATTGTACTCAAAAACAATTCATATGATTACACAAACATACCTATGTGAGCAGTGAATGTGTGTATGCATGCCTTAATTTCTTAAGAGAATTTATAACAGAGTTTATCACTGCTTTTCCTCATATCCAGGAGATCACAGCATGTCCTGGAGATCTGGCATGGAAACCATCCTTGCACAGAGCACCAGTGTAAATCCATGATCTCACTTGTATTTCATTTCGGCCTTGAGACAGATTATTGGATATTTCCTCTATAAAGACACAGATTGATGTTCCTCCTAATAAAGTGCATCATTCAATATCCAGGGGAGTTTATAAAGAGAAGCAAGGAAATACATATACAAAGATCTGATGCACACTTATTCAAACAGGACCCTGGAAAACAGAGATAAATAGAAAACTAATCTTCTAATTATTACAGCCCTGCTTTTSACATCCAGATGTAAAATGTTTGAAAATGTTTTTAAACAGATTATTTTTGTGTTTTTTTTTTTTCCTGTTACCATTCGATGGAATGATCTCGACTATTGGTATCTTTACAGTCAGAATCAAGAAACATATCCTTGTAGATCCTCCCACAYAAGCAAAACATGTCTGGAGCAGGATGATCACAGCTCTGCAGGACTTGAAGCATAACTTGGAGTGCTTTCTCTCTGTCACCWGCATTATTTCTTCTGAAATCAAACACAGAGAATAAAATAAATGAGCTCAGATTTGAAACAGTAACTGCAAGCTGGGAGAACAAGGGCATCCCTCATCTGTCCCACAACCCATCCATCATTACTATAAATACACTTGATTTTATTGAGACTGATGCACAATTGTTGGCTGACTGATAAAACTTCTCCTATCATTGATCTTTAGGTGTAGCTCACATAAGAACTGACACAAACCCAGAACTCCTCTGTGATAAAAATCTGTCATCTAACTTCATTCCCCTCCTGYATACACAGACAGACTCTGCACATCCTGCAAAGAGAAAAAAAAGTGCTTGTTCAGTGTTCATTCCTGACAACACTTAACAAAAATGGCCATTTTCAGCATTCAGATCATTCAGCTATGTCCAAGATTTGTAATCTTGAATCCAGAGGATCTGGAAACAATAGCAGGAAATATCAGCTAATTGCAGGAGAAGTTCAGGTAAATCCAATCTTACCCAAAAGAATGGCAGATCTCAATATAGAGCCTTTGAACTACAACAAGAATAGAAGGGTCAAATTGAACTTTTTTATTAATTAAAATTCTTCAGAGAAGAAAAAGACTTGGAAAACTAACAGCTGTCATCCAGCATCTTTTGACAAATATTTAACAATTGAATTAAGAAGAAAACAGTGATTAAATAACATTTCCATTCCTTATTATTATTAAACAATCAGAATTKTTGCCTCCATTTACCTTGCTGTTTTTCTAAGTTCAGAACTCAATATTTACTGCAAGAAGTCAAGATAGAACAAACAAGAAGGTCTATTTGCAGGAGTAATACAAACACATCTTTAGAGTTTAACAGCTTCTTCAACACATTTTTTCCATCACCAGAGAGATTTAAAACATTTACCAACCCCTTTTTAGAACTGTTTCCAATTTTCCAAACCCYACCTAGGTATCCATGAACAGGTCTACAAGGATGATGACTATTTTGTCAGCAATACCAGCAGCAGACAGTGCTTTCAGGTAAATGCATTATTTGCACACCCCAAAAGATTAATATTTCCTGTACAGTAGCTCTGATCCTTAGCTGATGCAATAAAGTCAGTAACAACACATCTGTAGCAAAAATTCAGACTTCTGTGCATGAGAAMATCTAATAAAATTAAACAGATTTATAACTGGTTGTGCAGGCTTTATCCTGCCTTTGATGTTAATGGCAGACCGAGCACATTTTTAAGCATTTTTTCTTAAGATTAACTGCTCTGAAATAAATAYTGGTCTTCTCTAATGAGCACACAAGGAGAAAGTTAGAATCTTTTATCAGTTTTACAAGRAATAAAGAAGAGGTAAATCCATTGCACAGCTCAGCATTTTCTAACCCAACCTCTTCTGAACAAACCAGACTCTTTCACTAAGAGCACCTAACTTTCACTGTTGTTAATATTAATGCAGAGAAAATTAAGTAAACAGAACTTAGAACAAAATTAGGCCTAAAATGAATATCCAGCAGCTCCCTGGTGCTGTATATTGTGATCACAGAAGCTGGCATAAGTTCTGAGCTCTTCCTGAAAACACAAGAAATGCACAACTAGAATCTAATGTAGAGCACTTTGGCATAGGAACAGAAATTCTAAAAATCACTGCTTTCCCAGATTGACTCAAGTCTGCCTTGTGTGAAAACTGGTTAATTATTAATGTAAATATAAAGAGGTGCTATGTACTGATTGAAAAGAGTGTAACACAGAAAAAATGCAATGAACAAAGCAAGACACTGATTAAAATGGGATTACTGGACATCAAAGGATGAACCTGCACACACCAAATACAACAACAGGAGAGCATTTCAAAAAACAAGCCCTAAATAAATACTGTACTAGAGGACTTGATATGAAAGACGTCTCTCTCTTATCAGGAAAAAATTACCATTACAATAATTAAATTCAACAAAATTTAGCATATGGCAAGTATATACTCATCTCGCAGGATATTATTATTAAACAAAAATCAGTTTAGGTACCTTTATATTAGACCCTGTTTTTCACTGCAGAACAATTTGTTGCCCATTGGGTAATACAAAACCAACACATCAATTATAATAATTTACARACTTAGGAAACTCTCAGCTTCTCAATTCCAAAAAGAGAGGGCAAACCAAGAAAAAAACAAACAACCTGAAAGATCACATAGGCTACAAGCAAATTCTCTGAAGTCAGTATGAAAAAATACTGTTAGATAATATGTAGAATACAGATTTTCATTTCTTATTTCAGACCCTACATTTTGTCAGGTCTGCATGCCTGACCTTGGAATTTGTTTCAAGGTGTCTTGAAATGTGTCTGTGSTGTTATCAATAGAGTAGAAGAGATTATTACCTTAAACATCAAGGTTTAGCACTGACTTCTATTTTTTTTTTAACTAATCTCAACTATATTTGCATCTCCATGCTCCCCAGATTCCATTTAAAACCAGAGCAGAACAAATCACAAAAAAAAACATGTCATAAAGGAGATCATTGAATAAAATCCTCTTCTCAGAGCAAGTCTCCCAGCACTGGAGCATGGCAGCCTTGGCTGGGCCTGAAAAGCTGAATCTGTTAAACCT